CAGTTACATTATAGTATTAATTGAGTTTTTCAAATATACGGTCAAAATATAAATACATTGTTTACAGTTAAGCTGCCATAATCAACATTACATATATAATAAAGGTACGTAAATTGCAATGTGACCTATAATTAATACCTTTATTTTCACTATTTATTTATAAATACTATGGCTATCTTTCCGTTATAGTTAGGGTAAGATGGCTCACTCTAAAAATGAGAAACAAAAATTAAATTACGTATATCAGATAGTATTCTATCAAATGTATGTGTTGGATGTGAAGAGGCTTATGAGCTCACAATGGAAGAAGTAGACTGGATTCAATGCATCCGTTGCAAACGGTGGCTACATGAAACGTGTACATCATTTGTTGATGTTTGCCAAATGTGTGGCAAAATCATTTCAAAAACTAAGCAATAGACATGCAAACATTGTTTTTTTTAAATTATAGAACTCTTTGTTTGGTTTTCTAACAAAATAAATCTTTGTTTGATTTTTTTTTAACACAAAACATGGTCAACTATCCCATAATATCTTTTCCCTAAAAATCACATAAGATGGCCAATGCATACTTTATAATATTTTGATAAAATTAAAGTTCTGTTAAGTATTTTCTCTTTAACTTCGATAATATTTGTTACTTTAAGCTTCAGTGAAAGTAATATCACAAATATTGTTAAAAAGTAACAAGAATAAATGTACGTTTTTTGCATTTTAAAAAACTAGTGGCCATCATACCCGAGTTTACCCTATTCACTTGTAACGCCAAAAGCGCGATTGGAAAAATACGTTTAAAAAATTCTTGCAAACTATATTAAAAAATGTATTTTTTAATAAAACGACATTTGCAACCGATAGCACATATTTGTAAAATATATCAAAAACTTTCCTTGTCTTTTGGTATATCAATCAATAAATAATCATATATTTAAAATTGAATTATGCTTAACCAAAAAACAAAACAAGCTATACGACAGCTCTCTATACAAAAAAATTGAGATAAATATAATTTTATTTTATTCTGAAATAAAAATAAGGTTTTCAGTATATTTTACAAGTGCATTACTTCATCAAATGTAAATATTGTTTTATTAAACAATATTTCTATTTCAATATAATTTGCAAGAATTTTTGGTTCTCTCGTTTCTGACGTCATCAATCTGAAGATCAGTGGTCAAGAGCCATAAGTGTCGATATAATGAATGCATTCTCGATTATACTGTGATTTTACCATCACGAGAATATTCCACAAACAGAGCTTACATCTACATACGATCGGACAGCAAGGATTAATCGTTATGTATTCTCGAGATACACAATCGTGGCCTTCCATATTTCGAATCCGCTACGATCTTACGTGGAGAATCGATGACGTTTGCTTTTAACATCTACGGTAACTAACGCTCAGCGCCAAAATTGTCACCCACGCGCGGCAGCCACATTTCGTCAGCGTTGTCGAGCGTACTTCCTCTCGCACGTCGTTCAGGAATCAGGTGGCTGTTCCCAGGCGTATCTAGGTCGCGTTATGCAAGGCGTACAGCTGGCATTTGCACTGTTGATGATTATATGCAAACCGATACAAAACTCAATGTACAAACATTAAGTTTTAAATGGCAGGCAAACAGAACCGCTGCAGTACGGGCCATTGTATAGGGATTCTCTCTGCGTGGACGACGCGTTGATATTTTATACGACTGTCATCTCTGGCGTCGATCCCGTGGAGGCGTATATTATATCCCGTATAGGTTAAACCACCCCGCCTACTTGCCCGATGTGTCCCAATACCTCGCAGCGATATGTCAACAGCTACTTTCAACTCCGCGTTCCGCCAGCTCGAGCATTTTATCCGGCACGTTCGTGGAATAGCGTTTAAAATCCTGGCGATCGGACCATGCGGTCACTGAATGACTGCAATGTATTATCGTTTTTACGACATAGCAATATTTTTACCTATAATATACAATGTTTGTTCAACGCACAAATAATATTTTTATTTAAAATTATTTAAAATTTATTTTTTCTATTTCAGATTATAGAATATGTTATTAATGCTTATATAATTTTAATACGAGAAAAGTCAAACCATATTTTTCGTATAAATTGATTTAATTGCGATCAATTATCTTGTAAAATGATTATAATTTAAATCTTTAAAAGCGTATATGCGTTAAAAAAAGAGACATACAAACAGTTTCGGGAAAGTACTAAATAACCTCCTGTCAACTTTTCGCTCCACTTTTAACAATCTCATTAATAAAGTCTGCGCGCTTGAATCCCAGACTGCAGCACACTTCCTTTGAGTCGCATTAAATCGCATCGGGATGTATATGGCAATGATTCGGCGGTTGAAATGCGATTGCCACTCTGTGCAATGCAGACATGCAATAAATTACGTGCATTACGAGATGAACGGAGTGCACGGAGGAGTCCCCAGAGCGTCCCCAGGCGTCATCCGGCCTGCCACTGTGGGAAACCTGAAGCTTCCTCCGGCAACAGAGAGAAGCCTTTAAGTCTCATTAACCAAGAGATAACGCGTTATGCCGGATTACGCCGTTTCTTCGTTAGCTCACTTATCGGTCTGGTGCCATTGGCCGCGTGAATGTCGATGCATCGGACTTACCGGCTGTTATTTGGAATGCATGTGCGATAAGCGATTCGATGTAGTTGGTTGAATATCTCGAAAACGATTTTTTACTCATACCTCGGTTAATGAAGTTATTTATTTCAATTCTATTTCAGTAAAACGGAGAACAATATACTCCGTATAAGAGTATATAGAATAATCGTATCATTATTACATCATTATCATTCACGATTACAATAGTTACGATGTACATATCAAATTTATTGAGAAGAAAAATCGTGACATTGACATCCTTAATTTGTAACGTCACTTGTCTAATAATACTTAATGGATCCGTTATCATTTATATCATCTGCAATGTATTAGCTTTAAGCGAAATTTAATTTAGGGCCATTCTAATGACGAGGAGAGAGAGACAACATCAGTCCATCAAAATGAAACTTTTTCATTTAATTTTTGTAATGGAATACCTCATGTCAATTAATTCTATGAAACCACATTATCTTAAGTGTATTAACTAAACGGAAAAATTTCTAAAATGGTAAGAGAGACGTTAGCGACTATTGAGAGAGAGGTTTCTTCAATTATTCGTTTCGCAAGTAGTCAGAACGAGTGACGGAGAATAAAAAGAGAAGGACACCAAGTACAAGAGAAGTGACTTGTGCGCGGCTCGATTCCTCGTTGGTGGTTCGCGGGGTTAAATATACCCTCGTTGGTCTCATCATATAGAGAGAGGGGGAGAAAGAGGAGAAACAAGAAAGAGAAAATAGAGCGAAAAAGATAGAAATAGTCGTTCGCGCATGCATACACACATTTATATATCAAAATGAGAACGGGTGGGAAACAAGGAGGAGGAGGAGGAGGAGGAGGAGGAGGAGGAGGAGAAGAAGAAGAAGAAGAAGAAGAAGAAGAAGAAGAAGTAGCAATAGTAGTAGAAGAAGGGAAGGAAGAAGAAGAGAGAGACCAAGGGGCGGGAAAGAGAGGGAAGAAGTCAGGCTCTGCTATTACAGAGCACCTCCGTGGCGCACAGCCCAATATGGAGCAATCTCAGATTTCCATCCGCCCAAATCGAGAATATACGCCCGCGCCTCCGTTCGCTCTTCTTGGCCCGCGGAGGGTTGATCGTTGTCGCGGTTGTCGTCTTCGTCGTCGTCGTCGTCGTCGTCGACGTTTCGCTCCCCGTCCTTCCTCTTTCGACGGAGGTGTAGACGTTACTCTCGGTGGAGTTGTCGCTTGTCCACTTCACTCTCGCTCGTAACAGTGCCAAAAGTGCTTCAAAACACTCCGCTTCGTTCTGTCGATACCATTTTCTTCTCTGCTCCTTTTCTTTCTCCTATTTACTTGCCGCCTTTCTATTTTTCCTGTGATCTTTACAGTTCCTCTTTTTTTATCTAGGTACAAGTTTATTCACGCGCTCGCGTTTTTTTTCTCCTTTTATGTCTTCTATTTTTTCCTTTGAAGTACATATCTTTCGAGATATCGCTGTACTTGATCCAAGGGATCACGCAAGGCAGAGCAGATTGTACGGGCGATCACGGTGCATTGAACGGGCAAAGGTGATTAATCGCGGTCTATGATTTGTGCGATCAATCGTGTTCAACAATGACCGTAGTGTCATTCATTTGGCGGAAAGTCGATCGTGTATAAACATTGTTTGAGTAACGTAAAAACGTCTGCAACGCACGAAATCAGTTGCCGGTTACAGTTTTTCAAGAAGAGGATTCATTAAGAACGATACGTTCATGTTGCCGGAAAGCAACTTTCCCGTCACAGGTAATCAGCAGCGTTTGATATTGAAGGAGCTTAAGGCTGGATTTATAATAGATTTTTAAGCCTTAAGCTATAAGGAATAAACGAATCACAATCAATTATTCTCCTCGCATTCGATTGTAATTGATCAATTTCTTACGGCTTAAGACTTAAAACATCTATTGTAGATCTTGACTAAAGTAATTTTTAATTAACACATTTCTGACAGCGTGTTTTTGGATGACCGTGGATATTTTTTACAATAGAATCAAACAGTAGTAATATATATGTGAAATCATCAATATTCTATACGTGTTTTATTTAAAGTAAATCTAAAATCACCGGCTGCATTATTTGAATATCGGCAAAAAGGCAATCGACAGAAAATAAGATCGTTTCTCGATCGTCTTTTCGAACATCCTCACAATGAGTTACTGTTCTCCACGTGGGATACTGTCGCTGCGCTGTGCGGTTTGCGCGGGTGTTTATGCGTAATTACGAATCCACAGCGGCGTCGTAATCAGGCCAATAGATCACGGTCTGTCTTAGTAGGTCGTAATAGGTGAGCAATTGATCAGTGACTTTAAGAATATTTTGACGATTGGTTATCACGTGTAAGAACAAAATCTTTTTGAAGGATTTCTTTTTTCTGGCCGTTGCATCACCTTGACATGTTCCCGAGCACGGCGGCTGACTTTCCGTTTTTAACCTAGTTGCACTTCTGCCAATAGTGCGGAAGACCACATGTTTTCCCGCGGAACAAACGTCCGCTACGATTCGTCCACTTGTTGCCTATGAATAAGTAAAGTTTAACATAACATTTATCGTAATATTATTGGAGAAATGAGAAAAAATACAATCATACTGTGTCTACTTTCTTATCTATTGCAAATATCTAGTTATAAAAGGGAAAATGTAAATTGAATCTGTGCTAGATTCTTGAAATACCTTTTATAAACAGCTGGAGTCTATAATTTTTTAGATCGAGGTCGTCATTTATTATCTTTTAATCTGATTAACATTTTGAATAAACTTAGATATGCCGTGTGGTATAATGTATACGCTTCAGCAATCATAAATGCCTAGTGTGGCGCGATACCATCAGCCATAATCCTAAATATGGAGTGAGAAATTTGAGAGAACCGAAAATAGTGGCGCTACGCCAAACCCTAAAAATAGCCAAAAAATAAATTGTAGTTACGCGCCCGCCTGCATCATTCTATAACTGGTCTTCAATGAAAACGAGCCACCTCCCGCACATATCAATATTAATATCTTCTACTGATCTCACTATTTAGTTCACCTTTATGTGAAACTTTTTACATTTTAAAATCATTAAAAGTTTAAATACCAGTATTTCAAAAACCTAAGACCATTTAGACTTTATTTTTCAAAGAATCTTTCTTTGGATTTGTAAATTTTAATTTTTCTATTTATTGGGTATTTCAATAAACATAGAAATTAAATTTCAAGTTTCGAATGTTTAATTTAATTACGATCTATTGAGTCTTGAATCTCACACTTAATTTATACGTAGAAGAATAGATCTTTTATCTCAATTTTGTATTTGTTATTTCTATATATCTACTTTCACTGGAACTTTGTTCCAAAATATTGTTTTAAAACCCACGCAATAAATTAATACATTTGACGTTGTGAGTACAGAGAGTATCCAAATACATATGTCTCGATTGTGTGTTTCCGATTGTTTTTGAGGTCTTAGCTTTGTATCGATATCTTATCCCGAAGTAACTAAATGACAGCCGACGCATACCTAAGCGGATTCTCGCGAGGCGTTGAAACCCGATCGACTAGGCCAAGTATGGCTCAGGAATTGCGGGTGTTCGGTGGGCTGTGCCGGAGTGTTGCCGGTTCTATTTTCGCGCAGGAATATTTTTATCCAACGGTGCTGCGCAAAGTCACAGTATGTATAATACGCTTCTTCGTCTTCTGTGCGTCTCTTTTCTCCGTTTTAGTCTCTTTCTGCGCGTTGTTTTCCGACATCGCCGTGCCGGTCGCTGACATTTTTGCTTCGTTGATGCTTCATTAAATTTTTTTGTAATAAAAATAGCAGTATCTATAAGCTCATTTTACAGAGAGTTTTTACTTATAACTTCTTACATAATATAAAAAATTGTTTTAGCATAATGAATAATATTTATGTGATCATATTGAGTTTTGAAAATATCAGCAAATGACATTGTTGTGATTGTAAAAAAAAAATAGCAGCACACAAGCGTTGGTTTTAGAATTCGGTGATGAATTACTCACGTGCGACAGATGATTGTTATCAATTAAATACATAATGCGAGCTGTCTCGCGAAACATTTCCAATAAGCGGATCTCTCTCATGTAACATATGGTTTTTGCAGTTCGCTATTGTGCGATTTCGAATCCTTGAACGGACACGTGGTCGCCTACGCGGTTTGCTCAATGGTGCAACGACGGCAATAGGTGCGCTTGATCGTTTATCCATTTGCGCGTCAGACATTCGTTTAATTTCTGCCATTTCTCACGCCCGTCAAATCCACGCAACACAACTCGCCACGCTGCGCACGGTATTAATCCGCTCGTTAATACAGTGGTTATGAATATTCTGCAATTCGCTCGCGCACACCGGTAACGATCTCCGGCTTCCACGACGGCCTACGCGCGACCTTTCGCGCGGTTCTTGCGAACGCCGAAATAAGAAAGTAGAAGCCGTTTGCGTAGCGGACCTTGTTTCTTATTTTTTATTTTTTTTAATTAATCGAAAATGTCTGAATGTTATGGCTGTCTAATAACTAAAATTAAATGAATACTTGACTAGGAACCGCGGTCTTTAAAATTTGAGTCAAATTATAATAAACAGCTTTCAAAACACAAATTCTTTCGATTATCACCGTAATTAAAAATAGTGGCACACAAAGTTGTTATAATGTCTTAACCTTTCAATAAAAATTGAATTAGTGTTTAACAAGACAGCTGTACAGGAACTGTTAACAAGATTATACAGGATTTCCCAGACTTCTCCTCAATCGTTAATGGCAGACTGCGATTACATTTCGAGATACAAATCCTAAGAAATACCGAAACATCTATGAGAAAGAATTAATTTTATAATAGTAATCTATAATGTTTAAATTTTCAGGGGGCACTATGCAGACCGAGGAAGTCGTGCCGCGTACACAGTCTATTGGCATAGACAGTAGTCTCACCGACGGCGCTGGTTTGCAGCATCATTTGCACCACTCGGTACATTTACGTTGCCCGCTATCGCCTCTAATCCATATGGCCGTCAAACAGGAGCCTCAGGAGGAAGAAGAGCGAAGTCGCGATACTAGCACGTTGAGGTGAATCGCAAATCTCAAATAATTTTATATTATTTACTACAAACGACGCGGTGCGCGACAAACAGATTTATGAATACCAGTTTTATTTGACAATTAGTATTAATAAATAAATAAATTATGATAATAATTTTGTTGAATCTGCACGAATTATTTTACTGTAAAAATATATTTCCTAGCAATAGATTTCATTGTAACAGCAAATTGAATGTATTTTAATAGAAAAACCCGTATTTTTTTTGTAAATTTTCTCGACGAAAGGTTTTTTTTTACAAAAATCAGATAATATAAAGCAATTAATGATGATAACAAAATTTGATTATTTTTATATTGAATCTATAATAATATAGCACTAGTGGCAAAATCTTTCTTTTGTGCATTTATATCGATTATCAAATCGACAAACATCAAGTTAAATGACATAATTTTCTTTGTTTATTATTCAGATATAATTTTTGATATACCTATCATATCTTTTTTCCACAATTGACAATTCTTCTTCTTCTTCTTCTTCTTACGTTAGGCCTCTGGCCTGTGTTACATCTCTCTCATATGCTTGTGGTACACACGCTGATTATTCAATTGCCATGAGCATATGGGACCTACAGTTTTAATGCCGGTGCCGAATGGCGAGAGGTGTTTCTGTGGGCAACTCTGTAGGCAATTCTGTAGGCAAGGATACTCTCGGAAGGTTACCAGCCTTTTCCGAGAAGAAAGAACACGAGCTTAAATATTTTGGTACCTACTGGGATCGAACCCGGGACCTCTGGCATGATAGACCAGTGCGCTGTCTGCCTCAATTGGAAATTGATGGAAAAAGGATATATCAAAACTGTTAGAAGCACTGATGAATAAAAATCTCTTTTTTATGGCTTTTAATAGCCCGCAAGTGGACGTAGGCAATGTGGCGGGTTCAATGGACAGCAAGCATGGACAGCAAGGTGGTAATCAAATTCAAGCACTGGAGGAAAATCTAGCATTAACTAGTCCAGATTCTACTAGTCGAGGACGAACTAGGTGATCTATCTATCTCTTTCTTCGATTTATTTTATACGCAACATTCTATCAATAATTAAATAGTATCAGTATTTGAAGTTTGTTTACGCCGTATAAACGTATTTGTATATTTTCTAAGATTTACGAATTTCATATTAATCTATTTAAATTAAATGGTTTTGCAACGAGAGCAAAGTAAATACAACACTTTTATGCATACTTTCATCAAAATACTTTTGTTATTGGATAAATCTTGTAGCATGCGTTTGAAGAGCGTGATGAGTATGTCTCGCGACGGCTTACATTGTCAGGTAGCGCGATCCGCGGCAACGACGCGACTCGGGCTATCTCTTATCTTTTTTGTCAAGTCTCTAACGACGTCTTTAACGTAAAACCGGCCGATGTCCAGGAAAGTGCTTTAAGTGCGATCGTCGACAAGAAAGATAGGCGCCAGGAAACTGGTTCGTGCCAAGCGAGTCTTCTAAAGTGATGCGCGCGCCTGTACGAGTACACGAAGAAAAAAAATTTGCAGATATACGTCAGCGAAATACACGTCGCGAGAGAGCCGATTACCGTTATTATTGAATTTCATTAAACGGCTCGGTCGCGACTAGAGAAGAAGAAGCGCGACACACGCTTTCTGCATAAGAGCTAAGGCGCCGTATCGCGCGGCACAAAACGCTATTAAGGTGTGGCTCGGAATGCAGTCACCGGCGTTAATGAAAGAGCGATATCACCGACATAATAGCCACGATTGCATCCTAGTTGAAATACTTTTTTCCTAAATAATGTATTAACATAATATATACACTGAGAAAAATGGTCTGGTTGGATTAAACAGTAATTCTGGTGGAAAATGGACGAATCAGAATTTTCTGGTTATGTCTATTAGAATTCTATTAGAATAGTTGAGATAACTAGAATTCTGATTAGTATAATTATTCTGGTAAAAATAAGAATTCTAGTAGATTTTACTAAAAATATAGTATCAACCAGAATTCTGGTTATCTCAACTAGAATTCTAATAAATTTAACCAGAGAGAGAGAGAGAGAAATTTCTGATTCGTCCATTTTCAACCAGAAATTTTTTTCAGTGTATCGAATGCAACATTAGTTTGAGACCAGTAATAAAAGTGCATTCTTTATTTCTTTTCTTTTACTTTAACGGGTAAGTTTATTACAAAAGAATATAATTATTGCTTGTAACTTTCTTGATGCTCAGTCAGTATAACTTGTCACAGAAATGTTTTATAATGGAAAAATGTGTGGTCTACTAGTCTAAGTATTATCAAATATGAAATTTCGTATATTCCAGTCGTGGACGCAGGAAATCTCGATGGAAACTCAAATTCCATCACCAAGCATTACCACCGGAATATTTGGATCATTACGAAGCATCACTGGCTCAGGAAAACCTGAATTTATCGCCGCCACGCATCATCGAGCCAACAGCATCCAGTCCAGCGCCGACCAACTCGACGTCTACCCCAAGTCCCGTCGCCGACGTTCATGGTTGGCTGCAGCGAATCGCGGCGATGCAGCAGGAACTCTGTCCGCAGATCGCACCGCCTCAATGTCCAACGACCCTCGGCCATAATCAAGTCTCCGCGGGTACTAGAAGATCTGTCATTACGTCTGTGTCTTCGCAGACTTGCAACACAACTTATCCCAGTCATCATATCCAACAGACGCAGACGTCTAGCAGGCCTCCCATGAAATATTCCGATCTACCGTACATGGGTGAAATCACTCTCGATAATAGTAAACCTAGACGTGGTCGGAAACCGAAGAAGGCTGACATATGCCATTTGATTTACAAAAATTATGGTACGATATTGCCGGGCACGCCTGGTCATGAGGAGAAGAGACTGTCGCCTCGTGATAAGCAGGAGCGTGTGTCGCCTCAAGTACCTTTTCAAAGGACCGATGTCCAAAACAGGATCAGCAGTTTGTTGGAAAAACGGCTGACACAGGAAACCCGGAGGAACTTTGTGTTGTCTGAGAATTCGCGGGAGCAAGATGAGCCACTGAATCTTTGCATTAGAGATCTCAACCAGCTGAAGATACGTTTACTGCGGAAACATGGGAACGTATACGAGTCTGGCCAGGTGAAGAGTGAAACGTCTAGCGATGGTGAAGAAGTAGAGTGTTTAGGGACAAGCTTTCTGTCAGAACCGGTGAATTATCCAGAATCAGTTGGCCATCGCTCGAATAATAGTTTTGTCAATCATAATAACAATGTGATCGATCCTATGATCGGTCATAACTCTGGCTTCGTGTACTGGCCGAATGCAGGTGTGTTTATTCATCCAATGGCATTGCAGTCACAGTTGCTATATTATCAAAAAGTCGCCCAAAATGACAAGGGCCTACCCACGTCGACGACGGATCAACCACCGAGAGAACAAAAAATTATGCCAAAATCGATATACTCAATGATGGAGATGAAAAATGCGACCCAAGCATCGACACTACCTATATCTCAGACGATACCGGTGTCGGTTGCTACATCTACTTCACCCAGACCGAAGAGAAATGCACCCCTAAATCAGCAGCAGAGTCAACCAACTAAACGGAAACGTTCCGCTATATTTATACCACCGATGCCAACCGAAAACAACAATAATCCAGCGACAGAAGTGAGCATATGTAAATTCAAATTTACCGGTGGTGCCAAGCCTAGTTTACAAGAAAAAAAGAGTCTTTCTGTAGATTCAGGTGGCAATTTCCGCTATTACAGTGGTACTGGTGATAAGAGTATGCGTGGTTACGAGTTCTTTCCCAGAGAGGCTCTTCAACAACCAGCGGGTCAATCTGGAACCACTTCTGCCGCTGGAGCCTTTCTCAATGCCGCCGGTGAGAGGATTCAACCGCCGACGGTGTGTCAGAGAAGTCCAACCGGTCAGGACGATGGTCGGCGAAAGAGAAAAACTAGAAAATCTCTGCAGCGCGAAAAATTGGAGCAGACCTTCAAGGAAAAAGGTTTCCTTATTCAGACACAACAATTGGAATCTGCAGAAGGCGCTACTTACTGCAAATTCCGGCAACTCAGAAAATTTACAAGATATCTGTTCAGAAGTTGGAAAGACTATTTACCCGGTAATGTACGCGAATTGAGCGGTTGTGGTACTGGTGCTGCCGTTGCTATAGAAAACGACGTAGCTGATGTTGAGGTCGACGGTGATACCACTCTCGTTCCCTCACCGCTTCCTCGTGGCAATTTGCTGGATGTACCGAATAGCTTTGTGGAGGATCATCGGACTTTACCCCTTACGTGAGGCATAGTTTCGCGACAAACGAAAGTCATGACATGAATTCATATTGCTCTTTGATTGTTCATTTCTTTTTTTTATGGGAATCTATATTGTCTGCATTGAAAAATTTAACAAAAAATTTGATATTTAAATGATAATTAAAGATGTTTTCTAAATCTATGTTTTAAAGCATTTAAAAATCGTCTTTCGAAGCTTTGGATAGCGATAGATATATAGACAAAGTTGTATGGAAAAGCTAATTACCTTTATTAAATTTCTCTATTTATTTTATGATAAAATTTATTATTATTGTGATAAAAATCAATTTTAAACACAATGTGTCATGATGTATCTCATGAAAATAAGGTAAACTCGATCATAGCTTAGTGCCAAAGATGAGAGACTGGAATGTACATAAAATCACAATAGAGAATTGATTAACCAAAGAGTGATTTTGCTCTCGCCATATTGGAATTAGAATTGTGCAGTGATAATTCATTTTTAGACAATATTGGACTGCGTTGCATTTGGGATGGTATCAGAGTGAGATTTAATTATAACGATACCGTCATACTTTTCTAAGCGAATCGTCGAAATATCATCTCTAATGGAATCTAGTCTTATTTATACTCTTTTTAAATTGTAAACATGTTTTTTGTTTTTATGATGGATATTTATATTATAGAGCGATATTGTGTATAGCAGCAACTCGGATAATTCCGCAAGTATGAAAAAGAAACGCGAGTTTATTTGTGACAATAGACATAATTCTATATTGTCATTACGCGCAATCGATTGGATATATGTATTTGCCGATGTTAGAATTGCGAGCTGTCTGTATAAATACTAAATAAAATGCAACAATGGGGTTTAAAATTAATACGAAAATTATTTTTACAGATTACGAAACTTTTACTTTATAGATTAATTAATTTCATTTTACTTTGCAATTAAAATGTTTGATAATATTTCAATAACATGTATGAACGTGCTATTCAAAACGGGATTTATGTAAAACCGATATGATTTTGTGAATTTCATCTCCGGTATCACTGGAAGGGAAAAATAATCTTCACATATTAATTATGACAATTTCATTATTACAAAGAAACATTATTACATTTACCGAAATTGTATTTTCCCAATATCTTAAATAAACATTAAAGAATTCTTGACCCCAAATGTTGAAAACGCGATTCTTTGATCAAATTGATTCTATATCTCGTCTTACTTATAACGGTCCGTTAAGCAGGATAACTACAAGTTGAAAACCGTCCTATACTCGTGCTGTTGTCCTTCGAAAATGACGACAAATAAAATTATTTTATACTTATGCTCATTGTAACGAGAAATCCTTATAGTAATAATAAAACAAATTGTTATTGATGTAGTTTATAGTGCAGATTTACTGATAATCTTTTACACTGATTTTAAAAGCACATCAATAAAAAGTACAATTGCG